GGGTGTATAGTAATTCTACTTTTAACTTTTGAGGAACTGCCATATACTGTTTTCCACAGCAACTGTACCATTTTACATTCCTACCAACAGTGCACAAGGGTTCCAATTTCTCAAACCTACTTTTAGAGATTCAGTCCAGGTGCCTCCTCTTCTAGAAAGCCCTCAGTGACCTCTTCATCCTGGGATGGGTTCCTTTAATGTGCTTATACAACATTTACTGAGCAACTACTATGGACTAGGCTCTGAGCTGAGCACTTCAAACACGTGTTTACAGAAGAGATGGTTTCTGCTCTCAAGGCACTCCCTGTCCCATTACTGATGAACACATGTGGGATCTTCCCGGACCGGGGCACGAACCCATGTCCCGTTCATCGGCAGGTGGACCCTGAACCACCGCGCCACCAGGGAAGCCCTACTAATTCCATGTTTTAAAGTCACTTGGTAGGACAAGCAAAGCATTTCCAAGGTCTGGGCTGGGAGTTTATCGTTGCCCTGTGAGAGTTAGTGCCAGATACTGCTTGACCTGGGATATCTCGGGACATCTCCCTAGAAATAAGACCCAAATCCCTGTACACGGGTAACTCACCCTGAGAGATGGGTAGAGAGGGAGGAGCAGGTCCCTTGAAAACATCTGCCTTTGGGGGTCAACAGAGATGGGGGGTGAGCCGCCGGAGGACAGATGGCAGACTGTGGCCTCTTGAAGGCCAGAGGGAAAGAGTTTCAAGAAGGAGGAGGTGATCATTGGGATGGAGTGTTCAAGAGAAGCCCAAGCTTGGGCAATGCCAGGCTTTGGGGGATCCCTGAGAGCTGGCTTAGGGATGCAACAAAAGGTACGCAGCAAGGGGTTCAGAAGAGAGTGGGTGACGGACAAGAGGAGGTGTCTATGTCCTGAATTTTGGCTTTTAGAGGAAAAAGAGCTGGAGAGAGGTCAGCAGAGGCAAGCGATGTTTTCCTTTTTTGTTGTTTTGGCTTCCTTCTGTTTGGTTTAGGATGGTGAAGCTTGTGTATACCTGTAGGCAGAGGAAGGAATTGGTTGAGAAAAAGAAATGAAAATGCAGAACAGAGAGGACTTTTCCCCACAGCAGTTACTGCCCTTGGACATACTGTATATTTACTGGATGCCTTTACTATCTGTTTTCCCAACCAGAAGAGAAGCTGTCCTATTCACAGTGGATCCCCAGCAATAACCTGGCAGGGATTAGACACTCGATAAGTACTTTCCGTATTGAAATGAATTCACAGCATTCCTGCGGGTGCCTGGTGCTTAGGTCCTGGGAAGAGAAGGGTTCATCGGGGCCCAAGGAGGGGCTTCTCTCTGATACTGCCGTGAGGGGAGGGGGAGAGGAAAGGAAGTTAAGGGCGAGGAGGGGAAGGAGCTCACACCCACACTTCTCAGAAAATTGTGTGTTGAGGGGGTGTGTGTCAGGGAAAATGGGCCATCGATGGAGAATAACCCTGACTGTGGTTATTCCCTCCTCTGTGTCTCTCCTGGAAGCCTCCCAGGCGTCTGGCGCGCTTCAGGAAATAGCTACTTCTGAGCGCAGACAGGAAAGATATCCCCAGTGGTCTTGAGGGGTGAAGTAAGGCTTTCTGCGAGAGTTACCATGCATCCTGGAGCTGGCCCAGGTGGGGTGTAAGAGGTGGGCAGGGAGGCCCTTAAAACCAGCTGGGCCCAGCTCCTGCCTCTACTCCAGACCGAGGACAGAGAGAAGGTGTCACTGGTGAGGAATCTCATTCTGGGGGCTGTCTTGCCCGAGGTGGGTGGGGTCAGGGCATATAGAGGGACGGGGCTGTGAGAGGAGACCCCTGGCCCCTCATGGCCTCCCCTAGATTTCGGGGAGGTCTCAGTAGCACCTTCTGTATAGTGGGGGTTTGGTGCTGTTGATCATTTCCATCCAGGAGACATGAACTGGGATGCGGGGGTGGTGGTCCTGGGAGCAGGGGGGCTGCTGTATGTAGACTTGGAGGACCTGTCTCCCCAGTGACCCGGCCACTCCCCGGGCCCTATGTCTCCATGCTTCTGTCAGGCTGTCTGTCTCCACTCTCCCCACCTCACATTACTGCAGCCAGAGCTCCACTCCACAATTATCTCTTGGCCTCGCTCATTCTTCTCTGTGGTTGCCTGATAAAAATATCCAACCACACATCCTTCTGCTGGGAGCCTCCTTTGGGATCCATTGATTGTCCACGTTCCCGGCCTCCAGAGCAGCTATTTCAATGCCTCTGCCACGTCCTCTGTGAAACTTCTTTTGTGCACCTTCAGACTCCTCTGTGTGGGACCTGGCACTGCTCCCTCACAACAACAGCCATGTCCCAAGATGATCTAATGTGCACCTCGGATTTTGATTTTCATTTTCTTCAGGTATGGTGAAGCCAACAGATCAGGAGACAATTGCATTTAAAAGCTAGTTTGTTACAGTTTCCAAGAGAAGGGGACGTACCACACCTAGCAGGGCCACACAGAGAAGCACCAGGGTTGATCAGGAGACAGAAGAAATGAGGGAAAGCATGGCCCAGAGCCTGCATTGTGTCTTCTGTGGCTAAGGCAAGACAGGCCAGGGTAAACAGTTTAGGACAGGCTAGCTTGAATAATTTCAGTGGACTTCAGGCCGTAGGGGTGGTCCCTGGTGGTCTGGTCGCGGCCCTGGGGTGATTTAGGCCAGGGGAAATATTGGCTGGGAGTGTGAAATTGAGATAGAGGAAGTGGCTGGGCATGGGAGTTTAGGATCGGTTGGTTTGCACTTGAAAGCCACGCTCACAGGAGAGTCTTTCGCTTTATCTAGGGATTAGCTAGTCTTGGAGGCGCTGTCTCTTTCCAGCCCGGCAAGGTCCCCAAGATGTTAAAGTGTCATGCAATACAGAAAATGAGCAATTCGATTAGTTCACAGGGGCTGTTCAGAGCAGTGGAGTAGGGTCAGTCAAAGGAGTAGATTCACAGTCCTGGGCTGAATCCTTGGGCAACTCACTTTCCCTTCCTGAGGCTCCATTTCTTCGCCTGTAAAGTCCACAACTGCTATTCTCTCTTTCAACAAATGCCTGTTAAAGGGCAGACACTGCCAGTAGGTTTCACTGGACCCACGTGTTAGGGTCATTTGCAGGTTTAAGGAGACAGTGGATGGTGTCTGGCATGTCTTAGGTGCCCAGTACATGGTAGCTGGTGTCCTCCTCCTGTTACAGCTCCAGGAAGCAGTGAGGAAGATTGGCTTGGAAGGGTAAGGTCTAGGGTCATTTTCCTTGTCTGTTTAGAGCCCTCAGAGCGGAGGCTGTGGGCGGACAGAACCCTCAGGAATGTTCTTGGAACTCAGAGGAGCTGCTGGACAAAGGATGGCATGGAGAGGCCAGCCCAGCTGCTGGGAGCCCTGGGGAGTTGGAGGTTGTGTGTTTGGAGCCAGGCCACAGGAGGTACCAGGGCCCGGGGCAGAGCTCTGGCAGAGTGACCACGGAACTCAGGGATCAGAGACAGCAGGGCATCGGAGTGGAATCCTGGCAGACTATAGGTCAGCTGAGCAGCTCTGGGTGAACAAGGACTTTGGGATCCAGAGAGGAAAGGGAAGCAGGCAGCCACTGGTAAGGAACTCCTAAGAGGCCAAGATAGAATCCATCACTGGCCCGAGACATAAGGAATTTCCCTTGCCTTCTGGGTGTGATTTTTTTGGACTTGCGCCTAGTGATTCATGCGTTTGTCAAAGGTAGATGCTGGGGAGGGAAGCTGGGGCCTCCAGGCCCATGGGTTAGAGCATGTGAAGGACCCTAGCCCACTCCGCTCAGAGGGGAACACATCCCTCTAGGGAGGGAGGATGTATGCGGCAGTGAGCGACGCGCCAGGCTTGGGTTTGAACGTCACCTCCACTTTTTATCAGCTGCGTAACTTCTGGCAGGTTGTTTGAGCTCTCTGAGCCTCCATTTCTGCACTGGCAAAATGAGAACTGTTGGGGAGGAAGACATTTTCTACCCCTCTAAGTTCTCTTGGCTGGTCTAAGAATTAAATCGACATGAGATACACTAACAGGAGAAAGTCAAACAAAAGTTTAGTAACACGTACACATGGGAGAGACCCAGGAAAACTAAGGAACTCACCAAAATGGCCCAAGCCCTTATCTTAAATACGATCTTCTGCTCAAGACCAGAGAGGATGTTGGGGGTAGGGGTTTGGGACTTCAAAGGAGAGGAAGGCAATTCACATAGAGTTGGAAAAGCAGGTGTTTGTTATGCAAATGTTTGCTGGGCCTGCAGAGACTATGCAACACAGGGTCGGCTCTGGTTTCTAGGCCCTGTCAAGTTTCTCCAGCCACAGCTATTCCCGTATTCCTTACAGATACCTCTATAATAGTTCTGTGCCGGGAACAGAACCTTTATCTAAATCCTTGAGGCAGCTAAGGGAGAGGTAAAAAGAAAGACTCCCCTAATCTTCTGTTTCTTAAAATTAATCAGCCTAAATTAATCCTTATGCCAAAGAGACACACTTTGGGGTTCAAATTTTGCTCCCCTACAGAACAATGATACCTACCCTTCAGAGCTGTTGTGAGTACCCAGGGTTGACTTATTTTTGTAGGTAGACATGGTGCCTGGGGCCCATGAAAATGTTTTAATTTTAAATTCTTTTAAAATCAGGAGAAAAAATAATATAATATAATGAACGTATAAGAATGAATCCAGCCTGGACTGTATTTGTTTTTATACCAACACAGCTGTAAAATATAATTGAAAAAGAATTTTCAGGAAGGAGCGATTGTGTTGGGGGTATTTGCCATGGGAAAATTCTCTCCCATCTCTAATGGGGACAACGACCCAGGGTGCCCCTCTCCTCCCAGGGACCCCTTGGGTCAACTCCTTGAGGTTTTTGCCTCATTTTTCCAGCTGCTGTTGCCTGTTTACTGCCCAACTTGAGAGGGTGGGGCCTGGTGGGCCATGGAGTGGCCCTCCCCAGCCAGGAGTGGGTCTGAATGGGCCATGAGGGCCTCTCCCGATCGACATGTCATGGGCTGTGTTTTCTTTTCCAGAACCATGGAGATGAAGGGCCTCCTCACACTGGCTTGGTTCCTGGCTTGTAGTAAGTGCTTGCCCCGAGACCTCTGAACTTTTGACCTTTCACCCCACAGGAACAATATGGTAGTGGAAAGGAGACCAGTCTTGGAAGTCCTGGCGACCTGATTTTGAATCCTGGCCCTACCCTGACCATGTCGATTTCAGCAAGAGCCTTGGGGTCTCCGAGCCTCTGTCTCCTTATCTGTGACACAGAATAGTCCACGGGTTGGGCTGCGGCAGGATTCTAGGAGGGGATATGGAAAGATTGTGCCACGTGGAAGACATGGGGCTTGTAGACATGGGAGGCAGATTTTTTACTTTGATGCCAAATAAAATACGATAAAACTATCACAACACAAGATCCTTATATAAATATTCCGTTCCACAATTCCTGGGCATTCTCTGCTCAGGCCTGTCCAGGTTTTCTACATGTCCCACCTGCTGCCACCTCCCAGCTGGAGGGAACTGCCCAGCGTGGGGGGAGCCTGGCTTTAGGCCTCCCCTGCAGCCCCATCACCATGTATACAACCTCTGACAGGCTGTCCTACTGATGCCTTGCCAGATGCCTGGAGACTGCAGGGAGAGTGGGAGAGTGCCTCTGGCTCACTGCAAAACCCTGGGCAAGTCACCTTCCCCTCTGAGCTACAGTTTCCCAACTCTAAGATGAGGGAGCTGGCTCCAGGGATCTCTACGGGTCCCACGCTGCTCTAAGATTCTGTGCCTCCCGTTCCAGAAGGCGTCAACTGCGGGGAGGGACGGGTGTATCATCAGGAGAGACAGGAAGTGCCTGTCTGCCTGCTTCATACTGATAACGATATTCATTAACCTTAACATTTCTTGGTCACTTACTATGTGTCTGTCACTGTGCTAGAAATTTACATACTTTATCTTTTTTCAACCCTCATGACGTCTCCAAAAGGTAGGCGTTCATGTTAGGCCACCCCCGCCCCCGCATTTTGCAGATAAGGAAACGGAGGCTCTGAGAGATGAAGTGACCTATTTAACACCATACTGTGAGTTAGTGGCAGAGCTGGGATCGTCCACGTCCAAACCTCCAATCCCTTCTCTGTTTGCCCTCACGTTTCTCCTTCCTCTCCCATGAATGGGGAGGATGAAAAAGGGACACATGGGTCCCTCCGAGCCTCGAGGTGGAAGAAAGGGAGGGAGCACGTGGGAAGGTGGGCCTGGAGCGGGTCTGCCTGGGCTGTCTTTCAGGCGCGCCTGCTGTCCCAGGGAGCTTGCTACAGCTGAGGCTGATGACTGAGCAGCTGACCAGGAAGCCCGCCCTGATGAGCTATGGCTTCTACGGCTGTTACTGCGGCTGGGGGGGTCGAGGGACCCCCAAGGATTGTACTGATTGGTGAGTTAATTGTCATGACCGCCCTTTGTGCTCCAGGCTCTGTATCCACATTATCTCATCTAATTAGATATCAGTTCTGAAAGACGAGTATTAAAGCACCATTTTATAGATAAGAAAACTGAGTCTTAAGAGAGGTTAACTGACTTGCCCAAGAGACATCTAGTAACTCCCCGAATCTCAGTGCCTAATATATCAGTTGATCTATCACTACATAACAAACCACCCCAAAATGTAGTAGCCTAAAGCGATGACAACCCCTTATTTTGCTAAGATTCTGCCACTTGGGCAGGGCCTGGCGGGATGGCTTGTCTCTTCTCCACCTGGCTTCGGCTTGGGCCGCTCCGCTGAGGCTGGGCGATCTGCTTTCTAGAATGATTACTCCTATGGCTGGCAAGTTGTTGCTGTCTGCTGGCTGGGAGCTCAGCTGAGGCTGTGGGCCAGGGGCCTCAGTTCCTCTCACTTAAGCCTCTCTAAGCTTGTCTAGACTTCCTCACAGCACAGTGCCTCTTGGGTTTCAAGAGTGAGTGTTCCAGAACGGCATGACAAAAGAGCATGGCGTTTTTGTGATCCAGCATCAGAAATTCTACTGTGTCACTTCCACCGTTCTCTTCGTCGAGGCAGTCACAAAGGCTTTAAGAGAGAGGGGGCCTAGTTTCCACCTCTTGATTGGGAAGTGGCAATGTTCTAGAAGAACATGTGAGATGGGAGAGGTTGCTCTTTGAAAAATACAACCTGCTGGGTTAACAATTCTTATACAGCTAGACATGTATAAGGGGATGGGGGTCTTAAACAAATGGAGGGCAGATGGTTGGAGCCAAGCTTGTCACTGCTGGAGTGGGAGTTTACAGACCAGACAAGCAGGGACAGGAAGCTAGAATGATCTATGTGATAATGGATTAGAGTTGGAGACTTTAGTATAAACTCCTAGTTAGCTGAATATAGATGCAGATGGCTACATATAAAAATATGTAGAGATATGTGTAATTACGCGGGTTAATATAGATACATACTTTTTTTGCTCTGTCGTCTGAGGGGCCCTAAAAGAAACAATACCCCAGAAGCAATAAGCAGCATCTAGTGCCCAGACCTGGTTTCTGACACCATTCTCCAATAAGAGGAACCAAGGCTCCTTGGAGAGATGGCTGATCCTAGGACAGGGCAGGAAATATACAAGATGAACCTGGAGCTTTTTGTAGTGCCCCAAATTAAGGAAGAGCTTGAACAAAACAAGCCCAAACCAAACCCCTCATTGATAGGAATATGTCAAAGAGCACAGGAGCCAACTGGGAGAGCCCCTAATGGCCCAAACTGGAACAACATGGGCAGCAAAATAAACCCATAACCCATCTCATCATGACAAAAACATCAAAGAAATCCCAGTAGGAGAGCATCCTACAAAAGACTTGACCACCATTCCTCAAAATTGTCAAGGGCATCAAAAACAAGGAAAGTGTGACTGCCACAGCCAAGAGGAGCCTAAAGAGACAGGACAAGTACATGTAACATGGTGTCCATCACTGGATCTTGGAATAGAAAAGAACATTTAGGTAAAAACTGAGAAAATCTAAAGAAACTATGGACTTTTACAATTAATGAATCAATAGTGATATATTATTGTTTAATTAGTTAATATTTATTTAATAATGTATCAGTATTGGTTTGTTAGCTGTAAGAAACGTATTATACTCGTAAAAAGTGTTGATAATGGGGGAAACTGGGTGTGGGGTAAAAGGGAGCATTTGGTACAATCTTCTCAATTTTTCTGTAAATCTAAATTTTAAAAAAATGCAGTTGCCCACAGCTATCAAAATTGAAGTTTAGTTATTGTTCATTTAACCATGTGAATCACATATCAATCCCAGGACCCAGGTTTCTCCTCTCTCGTGACTTTCCCCATGGCCTCATAGTCCTTGGCTGGGTCATCTCCATCCAGCTGAGATGGAGAGAGAGAGAGTGGAGGACAGAGTGGGAATTTTTTTTTTAACATCTTTATTGGAGTATAATTGCTTTACAACGGTGTGTTAGTTTCTGCTTTATAACAAAGTGAATCAGTTATACATATATCCCCATATCTCCTCCCTCTTGCGTCTCCCTCCCACCCTCCCCATCCCACGCCTCTATGTGGTCACAGAGCCCCGAGCTGATCTCCCTGTGCTACGTGGCTACTTCCCACTAGCTATCTATTTTACATTTAATAGTATATATGAGTCCATGCCACTCTCTCACTTTGTCCCAGCTTAACCTTCCCCCTCCCTGTGTCCTCAAGTCCATTCTCTACGTCTGCGTCTTTATTTCTGTCCTACCCCTAGATTCTTCAGAACCATTTTTTATATTTTTTTAGATTCCATATATATGTGTTAGCATATGGTATTTGTTTTTCTCTTTCTGACTTACTTCACTCTGTATGACGGACTCTAGGTCCATCCACCTCACCACAAACAACTCAGTTTCGTTTCTTTTTATGGCTGAGTAATATTCCATTGTATGTATGTGCCACACCTTCTTTAGCCATTCATCTGTTGATGGACACTTAGGTTGCTTCCATCTCCTGGCTATTGTAAATAGAGCTGCAATGAACATTGTGATACATGACTCTTTTTGAATTATGGTTTTCTCGGGGTATATGCCCAGCAGTGGGATTGCTGGGTCATATGGTTGTTCTATTTTTAATTTTTTAAGGAACCTCCATACTGTTCTCCATAGTGGCTGTATCAATTTACATTCCCACCAACAGAGCAAGAGGGTTCCCTTTTCTCCACACCCTCTCCAGCATTTATTGTTTCTAGATTTTTTGATGATGGCCATTCTGACTGGTGTGAGATGATATCTCATTGCAGTTTTGATTTGCATTTCTCTAATGATTAATAATGTTGAGCATTCTTTCATGTGTTTGTTGGCAATCTGTATATCTTCTTTGAAGAAATGTCTATTTAGGTCTTCTGCCCATTTTTGGATTGGGTTGTTTGTTTTTTTGATATTGAGCTGCATGAGCTGCTTGTAAATTTTAGAGATCAATCCTTTGTCAATTGCTTCATTTGCAAATATTTTCTCCCATTCTGAGGGTTGTCTTTTCGTCTTGTTTATGCCTTCCTTTGCTATACAAAAGTTTTTGTTTCATTAGGTCCCATTTGTTTATTTTTGTTTTTATTTCCATTTCTCTAGGAGGTGGGTCAAGAAGGATCTTGCTGTGATTTATGTAATAGAGTGTTCTGCTTAGGTTTTCCTCAAAGAGTTTTACAGTGTCTGGCCTTACATTTAGGTCTTTAATCCATTTTGAGTTTATTTTTGTGTATGGTGTTAGGTAGTGTTCTAATTTCATTGTTTTACATGTAGCTGTTCAGTTTTCCCAGCACCAGTTATTGAAGAGGCTGTCTTTTCTCCATTGTATATTCTTGCCTCCTTTACCAAAAATAAGGTGACCATATGTGCGTGGGTTTATCTCTGGGCTTTCTATCCTGTTCCATTGATCTATATTTCTGTTTTTGTGCCAGTACCATACTGTCTTGATTACTGTAGCTTTGTAGTATAGACCGAAGTCTGGGAGCCTGATTCCTCCAGCCCGTTTTTCTTTCTCAAGATTGCTTTGGCTATTCAGGGTCTTCTGTGTTTCCATACAAATTGTGAAATTTTTTATTCTAGTTCTGTGAAAAATGCCATTGGTAGTTTGATAGGGATTGCACTGAATCTGTAGATTGCTTTGTGTAGAATAGTCATTTTCACAATGCTGATTCTTCCAATCCAAGAACATGGTGTATCTCTCCATTGGTTTGTATCATCTTTAATTTCTTTCATCAGTGTCTTATAGTTTTCTGCATACAGGTCTTTTGTCTCCTTAGGTAGGTTTATTCCTAGGTATTTTATTCTTTTTGTTATGATGGTAAATGGGAGTGTTTCCTTAATTTCTCTTTCAGATTTTTCATCATTAGTGTATAGGAATGCAAGAGATTTGTGTGCATTAATTTTGTATCCTGCTACTTTACCAGATTCATTAATTAGTTCTAGCAGTTTTCTGGTAGCATCTTTAGGATTCTCTTTGTATAGTATTATGTCATCTGCAAACAGTGACAGCTTTATTTCTTCTTTTCTGATTTGGATTCCTTTTATTTCTTTTTCTTCTCTGATTGATGTGGCTAAAGCTTCCAAAACTATGTTGAATAATAGTGGTGGGAGTGGACAACCTTCTCTTCTTCCTGATCTTAGAGGAAATGGTTTCAGTTTTTCACCATTGAGGACGATGTTGGCTGTGGGTTTGTCATATCTGGCCTTTATTATGTTGAGGTAAGCTCCCTCTCTGCCTACTTTCTGGAGGGTTTTTATCATAAATGGGTGTTGAATTTGTCAAAAGCTTTTTCTGCATCTATTGAGATGATCATATGGTTTTTCTCCTTCACTTTGTTAATATGGTGTATCACATTGATTGAATTGTGTATATTGAAGAATACTTGCATTCCTGGGATAATCCCCACTTGATCATGGTGTATGATCCTTTTAATGGATTCTGTTTGCTAGTATTGAGGATTGTTGCATTTATGTTCATCAGTGATATTGCCTGTAGTTTTCTTTCTTTGTGACATCTTTGTCTGGTTTTGGTACCAGGGTGATGGTGGCCTCGGAGAATGAGTTTGGGAGTGTTCCTCCCTCTGCTATATTTTGGAAGAGTTTGAGAAGGATAAGTGTTAGCTCTTCTCTAAATATTTGACAGAATTCACCTGTGAAGCCATCTGGTCCTGGGCTTTTGTTTGTTGGAAGGTTTTTAATCAGTCTCAATTTCAGTGCTTGTGATTGGTCTGTTTATATTTTCTATTTCTTCCTGTTTCAGTCCCAGAAGGTTGTGCTTTTCTAACAATTTGTCCATTTCTTCCAGTTTGTCCATTTTATTGGCATATAGTTGCTTGTAGTAATCTCTCATTATCCTTTGTATTTCTGCAGAGTCGGTTGTTACTTCTCCTTTTTCATTTCCAATTCTATTGATTTGAGTCTTCTCCCTTTTTTTCTTGATGAGTCTGGCTAATGGTTTATCAATTTTGTTTATCTTCTCAAAGAACCAGCTTTTAGCTTTATTGATCTTTGCTATTGTTTCCTTCATTTCTTTTTCATTTATTTCTGATCTGATCTTTATGATTTCTTTCCTTCTGCTAACTTAGGGGGGGTTTTGTTCTTCTTTCTCTAATTGCTTTAGGTGTAAGGTTAGGTTGTTTATTTGAGACGTTTCTTGTTTCTTGAAGTAGGATTGTATTGCTATAAACTTCCCACTTAGAACTGCTTATGCTGCATCCCATAGGTTTTGGGTCATCGTGTTTTCATTGTCATGTGTTTCTAGGTTTTTAAAATTTTCTCTTTGATTTCTGCAGTGATCTCTTGGTTATTAAGTAGTATATTGTTTAGCCTCCACGTGTTTGTATTTTTTACAGATTTTTTTCCTCTAACTGATATCTAGTCTCATAGCATTGTGGTCAGAAAAGTTACTTGATACGATTTCAATTTTCTTAAATCTACCAGGGCTTGATTCGTGACCCAAGATATGATCTATCCTGGAGAATGTTCCATGAGCACTTGAGAAGAAAGTGTATTCTGTTGGTTTTGGGTGGAATGTCCTATAAATATCAATTAAGTCCATCTTTTGTAATGTACATTTAAAGCTTGTGTTTCCTTATTTATTTTCATTTTGGATGATCTGTCCATTGGTGAAAGTGGGGTGTTAAAGTCCCCTACTATGATTGTGTTACTGTTGATTCCCCCTTTTATGGCTGTTAGTGTTTGCTTTATGTATTGATGTGTTCCTATGTTGGGTGCATAAATATTTACAATTGTTATATCTTCTTCTTGGATTTATCCCTTGATCATTATGTAGTGTCGTTCTTTGTCTCTTCTAATAGTCTTCATTTTAAAATCTATTTTGTCTGATATGAGAATTACTACTCCAGCTTTCTTTTTTTTTTTTTTTTTTTTTTTTGGTGGTACGCAGGCCTTTCACTGTTGTGGCCTCTCCCGTTGCAGAGCACAGGCTCCAGACGTGCAGGCTCAGCAGCCATGGCTCACAGGCCCAGCCACTCCTCAGCATGCGGGATCTTCCCGGACCAGGATACGAACCCACGTCCCCTGCCTTGGCAGGCGGACTCTCAACCACTGCGCCACCAGGGAAGCCCTCCAGCTTTCTTTTGATTTCTATTTGCATGCAATATCTTTTTCCATGCCCTCACTTTCAGTCTGTATGTGTTCCTAGGTCTCTTGTAGACAGCATATATTTGGGTCTTGTTTTTGTATCCATTCAGCCAGTCTATGTCTTTTGGTTGGAGCATTTAATTGATTTACATTTAAGGTAGTTATCAATATGTATGTTCCTATTACCATTTTCTTAATTGTTTTTGGTTTGTTATTGTAGGTCTTTCCCTTCTCTTGTGTTTCCCACTTAGAGAAGTTCCTTTAGCATTTGTTGTAAAGCTGGTTTGGTGGTGCTGAATTCTCGTAGCTTTGTAAAGCTTTTGATTTCTCCGTTGAATCTGAATGAGATCCTTGCTGGGTACAGTAATCTTGGTTGTAGGTTTTTCCCTTTCATCACTTTAAATATCCTGCCAGTCCCTTCTGGCTTGCAGAGTTTCTGCTGAAAGATCAGCTGTTAACCTTCTGGGGATTCCCTTGTATATTATTTGTTGTTTTTCCCTTGCTGCTTTTAATATTTTTTCTTTGTATTTAGTTTTTGATAGTTTGATTAATATGTGTCTTGGCATGTTTCTCCTTGGATTTATCCTATATGGGACTCTCTGCACTTCCTGGACTCGATTGACTATTTCCTTTCCCATATTAGGGAAGTTTTCGACTATAATCTGTTCAAATATTTTCTCAGTCCCTTTCTTTTTCTCTTCTTTTTCTGGGACCCCTATACTTCAAATGTTGGTGCACTTAATGTTGTCCCAGAGGTCTCTGAGACTGCCCTCAATTCTTTTCATTCTTTTTTCTTTATTCTGCTCTGTGGTAGTTATTTCCACTATTTTATCTTCCAGGTCACTTATCTGTTCTTCTGCCTCAGTTATTCTGCTATTGATTCCTTCTAGAGAATTTTTAATTTCACTTATTGTGCTGTTCATCATTGTGTGTTTGCTCTTTAGTTCTTCTAGGTCCTTGTTAAACGTTTCTTGTATTTTCTCTATTCTATTTCCAAAATTTCGGTTATCTTTACTATCATTACTCTGAATTCTTTTTCATGTAGACTGCCTATTTCCTCTTCATTTGTTTGGTCTGGTGGGTTTTTACCTTGTTCCTTCATCTGCTGTGTGTTTCTCTGTCTTCTCATTTTGCTTAACTTACTGTGTTTGGGGTCTCTTTTCCGCAGGCTGCAGGTTCATAATTCCCGTTGTTTTTGGTGTCTGCCCCCAGTGGCTAAGGTTGGTTCAGTGGGTTGTGCAGGCTTCCTGGTGGAAGAGACTGGTGCGTGTGTTCTGGTGGATGAGGCTGGATCTTGTCTTTCTGGTGGGCAGGATCACGTCTGGTGGTGTGTTTTGGGGTGTCTGTGACCTTATTATGATTTTAGGTGGCCTCTCTGCTAATGTGTGGGGTTGTGTTCCTGTCTTGCTAGGTGTTTGGCATAAGGTGTCCAGTACTGTAGTTTGCTGGTCATTGACTGGAGCTGGGTCTTAGCTTTGAGATGGAGATCTCTGGGAGAGCTTTTGCTGTTTGATATTACATGGAGCCGGGAGGTCTCTGGTGGACCAATGTCCTGAACTTGGCTCTCCCACCTCAGAGGTACAGGCCTGAAACCCAGCCAGAGCACCAAGACCCTGTCAGCCACACGACTCAGAAGAAAAGGGAGAAAAAATAAATAAATAAAATAAAATAAAAAGTTATTAAAATAAAAAACTATTAAAAATTAAAAAATAATAAAAAAGAAAGAAAGAAGAGAGCAACGAAACCAAAAAAGAAATCCACAAATTATAACAAGCACTAAAAACTATACTAAAAAAACCCCAAAAAACAAAAACAGACAGACAGAACCATAGGACAAATGGTAAAAACAAAGCTATACAGACAAAATCACACAAAGAAGCATATACATACACACTCACAAAAAGAGAAAAAGGAAAAAATATATATATATATTTTAAAAAAAGGAAGAAAGCAACCAAATCAATAAAGAAATCTACCAATGGTAATAAACGCTAAATACTAAACTAAGATAAACATAAAACCAGAAACAAATTAGATGCAGGAAGCAAACCCCAAGTCTACAGTTGCTCCCAAAGTCCACCGCCTCAATTTTGGGATGATTCGTTGTCTCTTCAGGTATTCCACAGATGCAGGTACATCAGGTTGATTGTGGAGATTTAATCACTGCTCCTGAAGCTGCTGGGAGAGATTTCCCTTTCTCTTCTTTGTTCGCACAGCTCCTGGGGTTCAGCTTTGGATTTGGCCCCACCTCTGTGTGTAGGTCTCCTGAGGGTGTATTTTCCCTTTTGAGAAGTCTGAGGTCTTCTGCCAGCGTTCAGTAGGTGTTCTGTAGGAGTTGTTCCACATGTAGATGTATTTCTGATGTATTTGTGGGGAGGAAGGTGATCTCCATGTCTTACTCCTCCGCCATCTTGAAGGTCTCCTACAGTGGGGGTTTTTTATGGGTAGGTTTAGAAGTGCTGTACATTTTCCAGGGTACCAGCCTCGTCATGTGACCACACATACCTGCAAGGGGGGCTGGGAAATGTAGTCTCACCGTGGGCCCAGGAGGAAAGAGCTGGTCCGTGAACTGGTACATGTGTGGGACAGACTTAATGGAAGAGCAGGAAGGACTCAGCCATATTATGAGATTCTTTCTTGGTCAGATCTCACCAACCATGGTGGCCTCTGCTCAAGGGACAGGCCCCTTCTGCTCAGGATCTAAATCTCTTGCATTGACAGGTGCTGTTGGATGCATGACCACTGCTACGCACGGCTGGAGAAAAAAGGCTGCAATGCCTTGACACAGGTGTACAGATACAGAGTTGCATGCGGCCTGGTCACCTGTGGTAAGGCTGGGGCTTCCATTCAGGCCACTGGAAAAGCCTGGGTCCCTGCTGCCTCTGAGGTCAGGTGCCCCAAGAGGTCAGCCAGTCTATATCTTGGGGGCCAGAGATGGGGGCAACAGGGGCAGGATTATTGCAGCTGTATCTGACCTCTAGGGGGCGGGCGGAAACATCTTAGACTCAGCATGTATTAGGAGTCAAGTGCTTTCCATATGTCCTTTTGCTTGCTGTGGGGTGGCTTTAGTGTCTCCACTTTACAGATGAGGAAACAGACTCAAAGGCTTGCCAGTGCACACAGCTAGAGTCGGGATTCAAGCTCAGGTCCTTCTGAGTTCAAAGCTAAATCTGGGGATGGTGTCTCCTCTCTGAGAACTGAAGTTCCTCCAGAGACAGGGCTGTCTCCATCACCAGACTGAGAGCTCCCAGTCTGATGGGGAGGGAATGCGTGTCCTCCATCAGACTGGGGACTCCCTGAGGGCAGGAGTTGTGTCTCCCTCAGCTGAAACCTCGCCCTGGGCAGCAGCTGTGCCTCTTCCATCAGGTTATGCACCCCCAGTGTAGATGCTGTGCCTCCCACATCAGACTGAGGGCAGGAAGGAGACTGGGGAGTCTGCTCAGGCTAGCAGCAAGTCCTGACTGAAGCAAGTCCAGAGTCAGTGTCACAGAGCATCTCTTCTTCCTCATCCTGCATTTGGTGTCCTGTTTGCAGAACGTGGGTCCCTCTGCCAGATGCAGCTCTGCGCCTGTGACCGGCATTTCGTCTACTGCCTGAAAAGAAACATGAGGAGCTACAACCCTCTTTATCAATACTTTCCCAACTTCCTCTGCATCTAGTCGTCTCAGTGAGCTCCTCCTGGACCAAGATTCTTACACCCTCTCCTACAGCACAGAGCTTACCCACTCTGCTGGAATCCCCAGAGAGGCTCCCAGGTCTGGGACCTCATTCTTGATGTTCCACTGGGCTCGGAGGAGGCCCACAGCCTCACTTCATCCTCCAGAGTTCCAGGAGAGTGACTCTGGTCATTAGACTTGGCAAGGTCAGGGTCCCCGGCCTCCACTTGTGAGATCAGCCGCTCTGGTGCCGAAAGCTCGCCCTTCACTCCAGGCCAGCTGTGTTTCTCCTCATCCCTGAAGACAGCCCTGCTTCTCCAGGAGGGAGGCTTTCCTGGGATGCATTGACTTTTCAGTTCTGCAGTTGGGTTATCACTACCATCCTGTAGAGAATTTTCACAGAAGTGGAAGCAAAAGTGACTCCATAATTCTGCCACATAGGTATTAAATAAAATTCCTTCTCAAGACTAATAATAACCACACAGGTATTTCCTCTGCTGTGGAGGATTGCCTGCACCTCTTTCTCTGCTGTTGGGGCACCAGACCCAGCATTAACCATGTTCCCTCAGAGGAGGAAGGTACAGATTAGTAACTAGAAGGTTTCCTGGGATGAGTACCAAGCCTTCTTTGGGGCTCATCTCCTTAAACCTTGGGTCCACTCGAGCCAAGCACTGGACCTCATTCTTCCTCCAGGGAGCGGGGAGAAGATGATTGGCAATCGTGCCGTCTTGGGCTTCCAGACCAGAGAGCGCCGCATTTGAATGCCAACTTGGCTTCTCCAGCTGTGTGGTCTCAGGCTCATTACTGAACCCCTCTGATTTCTGGTCTCTTTAAAAAAGAAACTGTAGGGCTTCCCTGGTGGCGCAGTGGTTGAGAGTCCGCCTGCCGATGCAGGGGACACGGGTTCATGCCCTGGTCCAGGAAAATCCCACATGCTGCGGAGTGGCTTGGCCCGTGAGCCGTGGCCTCTGAGCCTGCGCGTCCGGAACCTGTGCTCCGCAACGGGAGAGGCCACAACAGTGAGAGGCCCGCGTACCGCAAAAAAAAAAAAAAAAAAAATAAAAGAAACTGTAATGTTTTTTGCGATGTAAATTGGGAATCCCAAAGCTACCTTGATGATGACCTGGCGATGCTGAGGTTCTGGGATTTCACAGAGCAAGACATTAAAAAATAGAGTTCGGGCTTCCCTGGTGGCGCAGTGGTTGAGAATCTGCCTGCCAGTGCAGGGGATATGGGTTCGAACCCCGGTCTGGGAAGATCCCACATGCCGCGGAGTAACTGGGCCTGTGAGCCACAACTACTGAGCCTGCGCGTCTGGAGCCTGTGCTCCACAACAAGAGAGGCCACGATAGTGAGAGGCCCGCGCACCGCGATGAAGAGTGGCCCCCGCTTGCCGCAACTAGACAAAGCCCTCGCACAGAAACGAAGACCCAACACAGCCAAAAATAAATAAATTTATAAAAAAAAAAAAACGTTCAACTATGGGGTTTATTTTTACCAAGGAAGGACACTAAAGAGTCCACCTCATCTATCTATTCATAAAAGAAAGGGTGTTCTAATACCCAGACTGCAGGAAGAAAGGACACATCCCAAAACAAAGGAGAGTCCTTTCCAAGAAAGGACATTTGGCTTCCTTCCATTGACAAATCCCAAAATAACCACATGATAAATGGGATCTATATTTAAAAACCTCCAATGTTGAACATTTTCAAAATAAAATTTAATTTTATGCAATTACCCTGAATGTACTAGTGTTTTCGAAAAGTTTGCTATGGACTCGCGTCTAAATTTGACAGTGTAACAAAGAAAGCAATTCAAATGTCCAATTCGCTCATGAAATTTTTTTGATCAGAGCCATTTTCCAAATCCATTTTTAAATAGGTATGTAAAGGAAATTGGGAGCTTCACTCTCAATGCCATTTCTCTTCAATTGCGATATTCTGGATGATGGAGAAGAGACCTCAGCCCGGGCTTCTCCCTTCTCCCGTCAGGGTCAGGTAGCAGGCAGGGTGGTGTCTTGCTGGTAAGCTCTGCAGGAGGGGGCTGCATTCAGGCCCCTCTTACTGGGGCACCCAAGTAAGCTCAAAGCACTGGTATTCAGACAGGCATTTGTGGATGAGGGATGTTGCAATATTATGAAAGCAACACCACAGGCTGACATGAGTTTGAGCTGGAAGGGCTCATGGAGAGCCTTCATTTATCTACCAAGAAACTGAGGCCCAGAGAGGTTAGGAGACTTTCCCAAAGTCACACAGCACATCAATAGCAGAAGTAGGTTTAGACCTCAGATCCTGGTTCTAGACTCTGGGTTCTGACCACTATCCCACTGTCTTCAACTCTGGCCCCAAAAGAGAGAACATGGAACCTGGAGTGGTTCAGGGACTCACCCACGTTGGCAGTTCTTGGGAGAATCCCCTGGCTTCAGCCTGAGAGCCAGCTCTATTTCTTCTCTGCTCTGACTCCCTCTGGGGATTCCAGAGTCTGCCCTTTGGTGGTTAGACTCGCTGGTGCACTGGCTTCATCCTCAGTAGGGGGGACCCACTGAGGTCCTCCATGGTGCTCCCCTGCCCCACCCTCACTGCAGTGAGCAGCCACGGGGAAATGATGGAGTCACGCGACCCCTGTAACCTGGGAAGAGTTGGTCTCCTTGACTGCTCTCTTTGACTGTTCCTTGGCTGTAAAGAGAACCATCGGGAAGGTCTCCCTTTCAAAATCACATCCCCCACCCTTTCAAGGGAGATACTGAAATGTACAGACCAGACCATAAATGCCTCCCTGGATAGATCTTTATACGGAAGTTGGCAGATGACACAGATACACAGACACTTAAGGACAGGTTGCCTTGTAAGTACAGGCCCTCACTGGCATTTGAAAGTGGGCTTCAGATACAAATGGGACCCCCTCAAACATGAAAAATCATCTGTAGAGCACGCGTACATGGGGGTGTGTTAATTATAGCTGTTACCAAACTGAAAATGCACAAGAGACCCAGCAGACCAATGGTTGCTGAGTGTGTGCAGGTAGAAATGTCACATGGAAGATTTCTCAGGGCCCTACGGTAAAGCACAGGGTAAACCCTTAGGATTTTGGAGCAAAGCCCCTCCATCAGCTTCAGATAACTGCTCTCCTTTTGAGAAACAACATCTGGCTTTGCTAATGGTTCTTCAGGGAGACTGAATTCTTGACCTTGGGTTAACAAGTTATCATGAGACTGGCTGTTATCTGACCCACCAAGTTACGAAACTGGGTGTGCATAGCAGCAATTACACCATCACATGATAATATCTGGACCTAAACAGGAGCTGAAGGCCCAGGTGAGCTGCATAAGTAAGGGGCACAGAGGTCCACGGCCCCTAGACCTGCTGTATTGTCTCCTTTTTCTTAATCTGTACCAGTGACTTCATGGGCGAGTTCCCCGTGACCAGACGCCCAAGGAAGAAAAAGTTCTGGGGCCTGTCTTACAGATGGTTGTCCACGATGTGTTGGCACTCCATGAATGTGGACAGCTGCAACATTGCAGACCTCCTCTGGGGTGGCCCTCCTGTCACGCAGAAGCTGTGTTCATGCAGCTAACCTTACATCTCAGTATCTAAATCAGAGAATATCAAAAGGGGGTTACGACCCAACTGGAATAGAAATGAGCATGACCCAATGATGTGTAAAAGGACTTGGTATCCTCTTTAGGGGATGTTAGTTTGTTTCAAGTTGTACTCGTTATGTTAGGCAGAAACAGGATTTTGCTATTATCTTTATTTGGAGGTTAAGAATAGTTGAAAGAGATGCGTATGGATGCCAGGTCAACATGGGGTAGACTGTCATGGATCTGTACTGTGTCACTTAGCTATGCTGAAGCTGTATTTCCCAGAATTTCCATCCCTGCAGAGTTCCAGGTTAGCATGGGTCTCTTAAGAGATGTTTGGCCTGAGATTTGGAAGCAGAGGTGGACTAGACGTCACTTGATTTGTACAATCAGAAAGTCGGAGCCCGGCATGGGATGCATTTGCGGCTAATGCACGTTGTCCTTTATCTGCTGGGCTCACTGTGTTGGTGTGGCGAAGAAGCCAGGGCTGCAGCAACTCTGGGTCCTGCCAGATCGCCTGCTTTATCTTCTCTGGGTGAAGCCTTGGAGGTGGTGAGATGCAGAAGGGTGTTCTAGGCTTTCCTCTTGGGCTCCACCTATCCTTGCTGTTCCAGTTTGCCCTGCCACTTGGGCTGTAAGATTTCAGGCAGCCACCAACAGCACAAAAGGGAATAGCCTCTCACAGACTGTTTCATGGGCTCCCAGCATCACAGAAAGACAAATCCCTATTAAAATCCCTCATTTTGGGCTTCCCTGGTGGCGCAGTGGTTGAGAGTCCGCCTGCCGATGCAGGGGACATGGGCTCGTGCCCCGGTCCGGGAAGATCCCACATGCCGCAGAGCGGCTGGGCCCGTGGGCCATGGCCGCTGAGCCTGAGTGTCCGGAGCCTGTGCTCCGCAACAGGAGAGGCCACAACAGTGAGAGGCCCATGTACCGCAAAAAAAAAAAAAAAAAATCCCTCATTTTATATCTAGGTACCTCTTAGTAGTTCTGCCACTCTGACCAAACCCTGGTTGATAACAGCGGGATTCCGAGTGCCTAACAGCGTGCTTGCCACATGGCAGGTGCTCAACAAGTGTTTGCTGAATGAATAAGTGACTGAATGAACAAATGAATGAATGAATGAGACACAGTCCCTACCCTCAAGGAGTTCACAGACCAGTGTGGGAGCAGAGAGAACTGAAAAGTTGGGCCAAAAATATAGTGGTTGTGGCATTTTACCTCCTTGGTGGAGCAGTCTGGACCAGCGCTGGGCTCAACCTTTGGCCTCCCAGTCATTGATATCTCCCTGGTCTGGACCTGCCCTGGACGAGGGGATGGGCACTTTATTAGACAGCCATGCTAGGTGGTATCCTCAGAGGGCCGGGGGGATGGGAGAAGATAACTCAGTGTCCTAATATCCACTAGGGGAACATGGACTTCCTGCATGGCTTGCTCTTGAAAATGAGGTTCCAGCCGTTGGATGTGTCCAGAGGCTGGCTGCAGTTGACACAAGGGCAGCTTCTGGTCACTCCTGCAGATCGGCTTCTGACACTTGCTCCTGGGACCTGTACCAGCCCAGCAGGGAAACCGGAGTGCTCACCTCCGGTTAGCCAATCAGAGAGACCCAACCCATCCCACCCAAGTGGCAAGAGCCTCCTTCGGGAACCTTAGAAACCCTGCCACCTCCTGGAAGCCTCCCAGAACGGTGACAGAATTGCATTTCCTGCTAATTTCTGAAAGCCACAACTATAGGATAAGTGAACTCCTGGCAGGGTTTCCTACTATCAATCAAGTGTCCTCTACCCATCTATTCTATCATGCGCTCCAATTACACCATTCCCTCCCTCCAAGGCCTTCAATGGCTCCTTATTGCCAAATTCTTCAGTTTGACACTTAATGGTCTTTCCGCCTATGGCTGTAGTGTGCTTCCAGTTTGCTCTCCCGATTACTCCCTACTTCCAAAAACATCTGTTCCTCGAATCTTGCCCTATGCTTTCCACTCTGCCTCCGCTCATGCTGTTTCTTCCCTTCTGGAATGTTCATTCCCTGTCTATAACTGTGAATTGCATCCTCTTCTTATCAGTAATAATAGTAAAAGCTACCACTTACTGATTGCCTACTATGTGTCAGGGACTTTCATAGAGGTTATCTCATTTGATCCTCTCAAACAACCCAACAGGTGGGGGTGATTATCCCATTTAATGGATGAGTAAATTGAGGCTAAGCATGTAATCTTGGCCATGCAACCAGAGAAGGGCAGAGTGAGGGTTTGAACCTAAGACTGTGCAAATCCAGAGGCTGAGCTCA